CATGAAGCGAAATGATTGTGCTTTCGTATATTTTAGTAAGTTGTCTGGGGTGTTAACGCTCGAAAAAAAGTGAGCAAAACGCTTTACACTACGTGTCCGGTCTATGTGTTCTCTGGTTAGTGGTTCAGGGTATAAAAAGGTTGCGATGTTTTGCAAAACATCGATGCACCATTCAACATCGGTATCAGCGAAAACATCGGTAAAAATTGATTATAAAACATCGATGCACGATGCATCACTAAATGTGTTCGTCATACGAAAGTTTCGTTTTCCGGGGCGATCCTATTTTACCTGTTACATTTTCCTGTATTCAATGAAAAGTCTATAAATAATTATGCATAGAAGTACTTAATATTTGTTCGATTATTTCTGACCATAGTGTCTTGTATACTCACCTTTAAAAATGTTGGCTTGACTTAATAATCATACAATTTTTATTTGTTTTAATAACCAATTTTGCACCGTATCAATATATTTTTCAGAAAGTTTTAAGAAACGTCCTTCTGTCAGTTGACTTAGATTTATTTCAGATAGAGTACAATTCTGTATAATAATGAATACTAAACAATATCTGTAATTCAACTCTTTTTCTTTGATTTAGTAGTGGGTAATTTTATTTTCGTTTTGAGCCGCTAGGTGATGTTTTAATAAAACAGCGAATGTAAATATTTGTGCTGGTCGATATTAATGAATAAAATCTGGGAAAAAAATGGATGGCAAAATAAACACCAGACAGATAAACGGATATAGCAAAAGTTAGAAATAGATCAAATATTGCGGGCTTGACTCGATAGATATTAAGCTTTGGATTGTTACTATTATAAAACATAAAATCTGGTTCCCGTTCATCCGGTTTGTCAAAAATTATTTTGACGTTTTTCAGATATTTTTCAAATCCGTCTCTAATGTCGTTATTCTGCAAAGTCGCTTTGATGCCGAGGTATGGACGAATATTGTCTTCAATTATAGCCTATAATTGAGATAAAATTGAAATACATAGTTATAAAAGAATGTTCCATTAAACTTACAGCATGACCTTCAAAAACTTCAGAGAAAGGATCTATTTTATACATATAACAAGCAAGTGATTCGGCTATATTCTTCACGGAAACAACCAGTTGCTCTATTATATACGATTCGTTATCCTTAAACATCGTAGTTCGCAGCGGACTTAAAGGGGATTTCGCTGAAGATAATGTAAATGCAGGAAACCGTTTCATACAGAAACGCTCATGCTCCCACGATAATTTGGAGTCGGCTAGATTTATTTTTTTATGAATACCCTCCACTGTTAGGTTTTTGTTGTTATGGCCAGCGATTGATTTTAGAAGCTTAAAGTAATTACTTATTGAAGTCTTTTCTTTAGGTGGTTTTGAAACATGCATATATAATACATTTGGTTGATTGGAATCTAAGCTTCGGGTTATTGTATCAAGACATAACACAAACTCAACATTCTGAAAATAAAATAAGAATTGACAAAATATTATTAATATTAAAAGGGTAACGAAATATTATTATAAGTAGAATAAAGAAAAGAGGATTATTTTTAAGAAACACATTCATTTTTAAAATTAAGTTTTAACAATAAGCGTCACTCATTGGACGGAATTATTCGAGTAGATCTTATATCTAGTGCTTCACCGCATATCTGAATATATACTCACTATGGGAAAAATGATCGTTTATAGGGTACAAGGGTTTTGTTAAAATATACGTACGAAGCAAAAGGAGATATAGTAGATCCCATACGGTATATGCTCGTATGTATGATCACGTCGATTGACAGATAGAGATAGAAAATATAATTGATTATAGGTTCCTCATTTGAAGAGATGTTTTTAGCTTAATATTATAATATTTAGATAGATAAATAGTCAAAATATTTATATATTACCATAGCTCGCAAATAACTTTTGACACTTTTTCGTTGTCTGCAAATAAGAGTCTTTCACTGACACAATCAAAAAGACTCAGACAGAAACTGATTTTGTCGCGACTGYCTTAGGTCTGCTCACGCTCTGAGCGAGACTGTTATTTCTGTTTTCGTTTCGTTCAATTCAGTCACTGATCGTTTGCTTGAGT